ACTTTACTTGTGTCCTTGTATATACTGTAGTCGTCCTTTTTTACAATTGTTGCGAACAGGCTGCTAACCAGGCCCCGCAATAGAGACGGGTAAAGTCTAGTCTCCCAATCCACTCAGCCCATCGACAAGTGTGTGAAGGTTCCACACTCGAAGAATGATTTGAGTTCGCATGTCTCCCACTGGAAGACTGATTTGAGTTTGCATGGTCCTGTAGATTTTTGCCTCCAAAGGTTTTCAAAGGTTGTCGATAATGACTGCCATGCCCTTGCCTCACAACATGAGCTTTAGAATTCCGCCGCGGCTGACCCACATACATTGAACACCTTCTGACATCCGCAACGAACCAAAAGCTTTCTCCTGCTGAAGTTTTTGTGGCCATGGAGATCGTTTGGGAGCGAGTGCTCGTTTGCCGTCGTTTTATCTTATTTGTCAGAATCCGTCGCCAACAGAAATCCTTGGAGAAGAGGCCCATTGAGGGCACTCTAAACCCCACCAGCCACTGCCCACATCTTGGGTCGCCCAGCTGCCCAGCTGCCCCAGGCCGAGGCCCACTGGAGACTCTGAAGACTTGGAGGTCGGGGGTGCCAGAGCAGTGACCATGCAGCACGGCCACCGGGCAGAAGTGAAAAGAGTGCCGCGGAACGGAACGAAACGGGTTTTCTTTGAATTGGCACTTCCCCATGTGGATCATGGTGTATTTTGTGGCGATGTAAAAGAATGTTGTGCAGTGCCAATGTCACCAGCAGCGCTTGCATGTCACGTATGTCATCTCTGGCAACCTCTATGGTTGGTTTGATTTGCGTCCTTGAATGAAGGGTTGGTGATGCATTGGAGCATTTGATGTGCAGGGTGACCAGCTGAGGTCCTCTTCCAAATGGGGTCCAACAGAGAACATCGATTTAGACTTACAAAATAGATGAATAATTCAAAACAATGCATGGACCTTCAGAAAACCTGTTTTCCCCTACAGGCCAGTTGTTTATCAAATAATGAAAAGGGTTTCCGTGTGCGTCTTGAGATCCTAAAGTGTGCCAGCGCGACTTTTAGTTGCTGGGGAGGTTGATTGTGTCGCAGTTTGTAGTCTGCGCTTCTCAAGCAGCTGGCAGTCAGGCTGAGCAGTTAGCCTTCAAAACTTCGACCAGACCTCTTAAGATTCAGTCCAAGTACCACCACTACCGAGGTCTAATCCAGTCAAGACCTGCATCGGCGGGATATTGATCCTAATATTTACAGTAATATGCGACGAATCAGAGTCTTTGGGTTCGCTTCGGGATCCGCTTGATCCCCTTGCCGTCCGGTCGTGCTACCGCCCCCGAGGCTACCGCAGTTCCCGGGCTGAAGCGGTACGGGGAGTCCAGAAGAACATCTCAGAGTTGGCTCAGATCGTCCAAAGGACGCCTGCCCACCGTTGGGTGCGGGAAACATGCCTAGAACCTTCTAGAATCTAAAACAAAGTGACCTCTGCCTACGGCAAGCAGGAGCTGTTGGAGTTGTCCAAAAGAAATTTAACTTAGTGTGTGTGACTCCTTCGCTCTCTCTGATTGTCACCAAAGAAAATGACCCTCCTAGCTGGGTTGCTTGTGAATTTGCAGGCTTTCTGCAAACACCTCCAATGAATTTCTCGAATGTCCATGAATTGCCATGAACTTGGCTTTGATCATTTTTGCAATTTGATGAATGTTCTTACTGGGTCTATGGCAGCTAGGCTGAGTCGCCCTAAAACCCCTCTACCAACAGATGCACCAGGAACGTGACAGGGGAAACTTCTGACTTTTGGGCATGCATGAAATATCAATCCACTCACCCACCAGCCCTAAATACGGTCATTGATCTCGGAGGATCGCTGTCACGGTCACCGCGCAAGAAGAGACGGTCCGCCGGATCGACGACGAACTGGACGACGCCGTGGTCAACTTGCAGCTCGGGCAGGAGGGGCAGATGGGCGCTTCGGGTGACGGGGAGGGACGGGTCACACCGGAACGAACGGTCCACAGGGGTGGCAGATGGTGGCAGATGGTGGCAGGAAGGCGTGTTTGGACCCAGTGGACATCAGTGGACGATGTGGAGGAAGTTCTTTTCGCCACGGAGCCCCTGTGCCTCAGATGTTGGCCATGCAATAGAAACGTGCGATCATCGGTGGGGAGTGTCGCTGACCATGCCGAAGAACATGGCAGGCCAATTTGCTCCAATACTTCCGCGCCATATCTTCAAACCGCAAGAGGCTTAGAGCTGTGCGGTTGAACAGTTGACTGCAAGTTCTTCATTCATCATATGTCAGAAGAAGTGAGCAGATGTTTCCCCACAGTCGATTGGAATCCTATTTTGGCACCTCCAAGTCCGTGGCACTTTGCTGGGACATCCCCTTAACCAGCAGTTTTGTGGTGTGTCTTCTTGCCTCATACCGAGGTGCGCTTATTGTCAAGGTGTTTCTCATCCTGATCTTCTTTGTGCCTTCCTCGTATGGAATTCACCAGGATGAGTCTGGGAACTCTTCGACTGCGCCCAGCTTCATCCATAGGGAAAGCACCCACTGTGCCGCTGCGCCCACCCTGTGTTGCAGTGCCTCCGGAACACCGGCACAAACAAGTATGCATAATCTTCCGGAAGCTCTGCGTGTGGGTCACAACTCGATGCCCAGTGAGACAGTGCTTACAGGAGAGTTGGAGGATCTCAACTGAGTAGAGATGAACTCTTGTTGTAGAGAGTTTGGATCCACATCCTCATGGTTTAACAATTCAACCGTCCTTGGTAGATGAGGTTTGGTCCATACGTGCGACGGTTCGCACAGTTTTTTGAAACAACATAGGCGGCAGTTTAGACTGGACCACTGTGAAGAGAGACGACCTCAGAGAATGAACAGGTCTGCTAAGTTGGTGATCCAACCAGTGTTCTTTTCCTACCATAAATTTGTCGAGTTCGACCACACGTTCAATGACCAGGCGTGCAGCCAGAATACCATTCTCGCAGGGGTGCAGGGACCAGAGCATGCCGAGTTTTAAGAGAAACACCGAGGGCAGGGCTTGGGTCAACCGATCGATATACGCTCCAGCACCAAATTTTTGTTCCCTGCCCTTCCCGTTGGTCCGATGTTGGGACTCATCAGGCTCAACTTGTGTGAGTTTCTCCAAGTCCACCCTTTTGACGCGGAGAGCCTCGTGGTGTGAGCACCAAGGTGATCTTCTTCGTGGTCTTCTTGGCGTGAGTGGTCGGTCCATAGGTACTCGTGGGTTCAAACGGCCCTCATGCTCAAGTGGTGTGGCGCTAGCAGCTGGTGCCCAGCAATCCATGTACAGTGTAGAGAGCTGGGTCTGGAAATTTTGTGCCTCCCGAGGAAAAGAGGTATATAAATTCTGTTTTCGATTCTCGGTGGAGTGTGTGCTGGGGATTGTGCAGACAAGCTTTGAGGAAGATTGTGCAGATTGATCAAAGACGGATTTTTTCAATTTATCGGTTGCTATGTGATGCTATATGTGTTGGTGGGGAGGGCCATCCGACTGCTACAATATATATATATATATAGATGCTCTTGTTTTTGCAATGTGGTACAGGATTTCCTTGATGCCTTTTCAACTGCTCTTCCCACGCTTTGGACCCGTTCGGACCCTTGCTATAGCTGTTGCTTAGTCTTATGGCTGTTTGACTCATTCGGTGCGATGCGTTCCACTGGGTGACGTGGAAAGTGGCTTTAGAGATGTTAGGGGTGTTGGGGTTTCAAGACAGCTGGATTCAATAGGCCAAAGACCTCAAGCTGAGTCCAACCTCTCCAAGTCCTGAAAGTTAGAGGTCTGATGGATTCTCAAGGGCCCAGGATACATCACTGCATCACAAATCACCGCACTGCGCATCACCACATCAAAAATCCCTATACACCACTTTGGATTCAGGGCTGGTGAATTCTTGGAGTCCCAGAGGTGGAGGAAAGGTATATAAGTTTGCATAAGTTATACAAGCATAATGAGTTCTTGGTGTCACGGTCCTGGTGGCTGTTTTGGCGCTGGGGCCACACGTATTCACATCACTACTGTCAGTGCTCTGTCATCACTGGTGACACTTCTTCTGCCAGGCACAGTGAGATGTTTTTGGTGGAGCTGCTCGAGCTGCTGCTCTTACTGCTTTTCCTGCTCCTGCTGCTCTTGCTGCTTGCGCTTCTGCTGCTCTTGCAGCTGCTCTTGCTGCTTCTCTGGCTGCTGCTGTTGCTGCTTACCGTGCTGCGTCATCTGTCCATATTTACATTTCCGCCTTTTTGGCACCACTGGAATGGGTGGGTGGGAGGATTATTTTATAACATGTTTCATTACATTTTTTGGAATGCATTCGGCCGCCCTGGCTCAACCCGGTGCCTCGCTTCGATCTGGTTCGGGGGCTGAGTTTGGGTGGGTGGTTTCCCCTGCCCCACGCCAGCGAGGATTGGGGATGCATGGGAACTAAAATAAACCAGCACTGGGGGATGGATGCTGTACCTGCCGCTAAGATGCTGCATCATTTGGTGCCACGATTTCTAGGTACCAGGTCCGGCCGCCAGTAGCTGCCAAACATTGTGCACTAGGGCACGTTTCTGTTGATTTGACCCTAGATTGTCAGGGTTCGGTCTAGATTGTCAGTGCTGACAAGGTGTTGGACGAAATCGGTTCTTTAGCAGTCACCTTAGCGTGCCACGCAGGAATCTCAGCAAATTGAGTGAATTCATTGCATGAGGTTCAGTGTTTTTGGCTACCACATGTAGGTTCAGCCGGTCTGGGATCTCTTGGTGGGAACGATGCACCAATCGCAAATAGTGTATACTGTATAGTCAAGCGCAGTAGTCCCAAGTATAGCTACAATCATTTTAGTATAGTAGCATAGCCTAGTATAGTAGTCCGTAGTCCTGGGTTCTCAGTTCAATTCTTTTCTCACAATGTGCTGCACTGAACATTTTCCTAAGGCCCTAAGGCCCTACACCCGCTCCTTGACGTTCAAACGAGAGGGGTCTTAACTGTTTCCGCGTCCGTCCGTGTGAGGCCAGATCCATTGACCAACCGGCGCGGAAACGGCCGCGTTTGACCGCAGTCATGGGCGTTCCTTGGCGCAGTAGCTGTTGGGCTGCCAGGTCTCCGGGTTTCTACTAAAAGGAGGGCATTGATCTTGGTAACCAAACCAAATCTGCCTCCGGCTGTGAAGGGTTGAACCCTTCTCAAGTCGCTTGAGCCCAGACCTGCCCAAGATCGATCCCACACATTTGAGAGGAGCAGCAGTGGTTACTTCATATATCTTAATATAAGATAAATAGCCATATAGGAGTTAAGTGTGCTTCACACTAATTAGGGCAGGGGGCTTTGGCGGTGACAGGAGTGTGAAGATCTAAAGCAAATTGGCCGCAGAAGTGGTTCGGTTCGTTGAGTTGCTTCAGCTGATTTTTCTGGGTGAGGCCCAGAGATGGCACTCTTGCCTGGTTTTATGCAGTTTTCGTGGTTCCGACCAAATCTTCTAGCTCAGGTTGACCCCTTGGAGTGCACAAGCATGTAGTCCAGGATGTCCAAGGTAAAAGCCTCACGTGCGCGCCGCGTCCACATGTCGGCCTCCGCTGAGGTGGTTGATAGGACAGATGAGTTCAGGCGCGAGTCTCGCGTGAGTTGTTGCACGAGTGGTGCACTTCAGGGACGTCCCTGAAGTCGTGTGGAAGATGATGTGCATGCTGCTGCTCTTATCTCAGTTTCTCTTCATTATTGTTTCTGTTCTCGTGCGTAGATAGCTCATGGGTTTCCTACTCAACACGGCTCAAAGGTCAGTCTGTGGTACCCCCTACAACGGAGGCCACGGTACACTCCTCCAACTAACATTGCCTGGGCATAGCAGAAACATGTCACATCCTCCGGGACTGGTTTCTTTGGATCGAACCTGGCTCAGGCACATCCTCCGGGACTTTGCCACCAAGAGTGGCGGAGGTGCTGTGGGAGCAGCGTCAACTGGGAGCACAAGACTTTGAGGGCCGACTTAAGGTGTTATCAGGGGGAACCAAAGCAGCCGGCGTCTCAGAATGGACCAAACGAACGTGGCAGGCTTAAATGGCTGTGGGCCTAACCATCCATTATTGTTGGAGGTTTATTTATGTAGTTGAACTGATCCTATTTGTCACAGACTGTTCTGTTCACTGTGGGGGTCAACCAGACGCCAGGCTTTCGATCCATACAGGTAGATCATTCCACAGCCAGAAGATGCCATGGTCGCGGAGTCTTCTTGACCTTTTTGTCGGCAAGGCCTATGTCTATGTTTTGCAAACTTTGTGTGTTGCGTCGCGTGGCCCGCCCATGTGAAATATTTGCGCGAGATGGATGGTGTATACTACCTTGAATGCGGCGGATCCAAGCCTTCATCACCTACTGACTTTCCAGAAAAAGTGCGCTAAGTAGGAGCCTCGCGCCATGGGAGAGATCATGCGTGACTGTGACTATGTCCTAACATATATAGGTATACAGAAAATATAGAAATGATGGGCAGGCGGCTCTTTGCAGCACCTTTGCGGCACCGAGGTTGCCAATGGCAAAATCTAACAACACATACAACCGAGAGGTGTTAGACGAGGAAGGCCTCGTCAAACTCAGAGACCTACGAATGCAACGCGCGGAAATGTTGCCGTTGCGCCACACGACGGGGTAGGCTTGAACTTTGAGACGACGCCTCAAGCAACGCCGGGGCACCTGGTGTGGCGTATGGACCAGTGAGACTTTCTGGAAGGACCCCCATTGCAATGATACTGTTTGATATTTTTTGTAGGATTCAGGAGTTGTTTGGCTTTTAAGGCCCAAACAATTGTGGGTTTGATGGTTTTTGCGCAAGATCACTATGAGATATTGATCACTCGATCCTGCTAGCTTCCATGTTGGTGCAACTACGTAAGAGTCGAGAAACCTTGAGCAGAAAAGGATGGGTTCGTTCTGCAAAAACGTGATCAGGTAGAGTTTCCAGGTAGAGTTTCCACTTAGCAACATGCTTTTGTGGCAGCTTGTCCTGGCCTGAGGCGCTAAACCAGGCAAAGGATGCTAAAATCCGGTGCATCTCGAAGCACAAGGGCCCTCTAATCACTTGCTGTGCATCTGGCTGGTGCCCCCGAAGGACCCCGTGTCCAGTCGGAAGGTCCGTTGTTCCCGTCTCAGGTCCGAATTGAACCGATGGTCTGCAGAGATCGGTACAGAGATCCACGAGACCTCCCAGAAGGTGGGCGAGCTGAGGAGCGCCGAGCCGGTCCGGAGGTTTTGGGAGGGTGCAGGGGCGAAGGAGCGGAGCCGGAGTGTGTGGGGGGTGGGGCGGAAGGAGCAGGAGGATGTGGACAGCATGAGGATGAGGGGAACTGGTTGGTTGTAATAAATGTTTTCACAGATGTGGTATTTTCAACCAACATGAATCACAACTTTGATTCGCCCCATGGCGCGGAGAGAAACCAGATCCTCACCTCACCACTGGGCAGGAAGATGTCGAAGCAAAAGGGCATTTTTAACGACAAGACCGACCAGATCCAGGAGCCACCACTGCTGCGAGTGATCCAGTCGATCTGAAAGCTGGGTTTGTAAGGTGTCCCGACGAGGCTCAGAGACTAAAGCTAAAGGATTTGGTTCATGTTGGGGCGCTATCATGGCCCATTCGATGGGTCATGAAGTGAGGAGGGAAAGAGCTCAGCAGTCCCCCGATCTACTTGATTTCAGTTGATTTTGGACTCCCCTCAGGCAGCCGAACAGTTCGGTTCTTCTTGTTGGAATTGCTGGAACTGCCATAGAAAGCAACCCGTGACAAAACACACATTTCTGGGGTTGTGTCATGGCGTTTTCATGTGTTTTCCTTTTCATCTTTGTGCCTTTTGTGACTTCACTCCTTTGACCCTTCTGCTTTTCTCCGGGCAGACTTGCCTCTGCCAGGAGCTGACGTACACGGTGAAGCAGCAGATTCAGCTCCTGAATCAAAAGATCGAGGCCTTGGAATCCAAAGCCAAAAGCTCTGGGCTCCTCGACGTGCGCAGCCGGGTGGTTGTGGAGACGTGTGGTGTGGCGTGGGGCAGCACGGACAGAGATCGACTGCGAAGGGATGTTCACATGCGGACGATGGCCTCAAGATAGCAACATCAGGAGAAAATCTTAATTCTGTGGGCGTGCTTGTGTTTGACAAATTACACTAGGTCCAACTCATTTTCAAGCCCCTCCACAGAATAGCCTTGGATGAGTAAGAGATAGTAAGAGTAAAGTTCGAGTTCGGGGTAGTTGGGGTACTTGATCTAACCATTGATGGTGAGGGGTCGCCATATGGCAGTAATGTTCAAGTCAAGTCTTCTATCCCAGGCATGCTTGCTCTTGGTTGCAGCTCTCCTTCAGCGTCTCACATATGAGAGAGAGAGATACACATACACACTTAGATCGATAGCTCGCAAGAGCAAGATTCAGTGAAGGTTCAGTGAAGTTACTGGCTGGTGAACAGCATGGCGAAGGGTCAGAGAAAAGAATTGTTTGAACATACGCATTAGCACTTTACAGGATAATTGGAGTCACAGCTTCAAAAACACCACCACAACTGGGCAGGTACGTCACGGGGATCAGCCGTGATATTCGCATGTACTGTGGCCGCTTCGTTGGACCATCGCTCACAGCACATGGATGATCCCCCTGCTCATGGATTTAACGTGGAAGTGTTGTGTATGCCTTTGGAACAGGAAGTGGCACACGCACAACAGGCTCGCTTACTTCTGACATCTTCAGCGCTCAGGCTTTCCAAAACTTCTTTCATCACTGCGAAATCTTAGACACCGCCCTCATGACCTTGATGGTGCATTTCCGGCAGCCATCGCTCTAAGGAAGAACAAGAGCTACCAGGCGCACGCGTCCACTCTGGTCGAAACCTTGAAGACCAGGCGGGCAGAACTGATTTGCCTCAAGAATGCATCCCTCTCTCTGAGCCAGTGTTTTCAGGGTCGAGCCAGTGAGGTTTGTCGGGCCAAGTTCCCAAGGTGGACCCAAAAGGTCCCAAGGTCCTGCAAACCTCGTTTTGCAGGCTCCTTCAAGTGACAAAGGAGTTCAAGGATGCACTGGAGGAGTGGGTGCACAATCTCTGGTCGGCCCCTGACTGGATGTTCAAAAGAAGCCATTTGCAAAGCAGGTTGGCTTACAAACTCTACAAAGCACGGACCCAGACAGGATGATCATCAAAGAAAGAAAACCGTGATCCCACCATGATGAACAGATGTGAAACGATGATTCAAGTCACAAAATGCATGGTTTAAGTCACCTTTGTGCCGGACTTGGTGAGGAGGGTGAATGCTGGTGAAACTGGTGAAACACAATGGAACATCCATGTTTCACCCGTTGGCCCTCTGGTAAAGCACAACTTTCCGATCGGTATATAAACGCAGAGACCCTGAGAGAGCTCATTCCAGGCCCCTGGTTCTAGCTTTTCTGCAGTGGTGGGACGTGAAGATGAGCGGTTTCTGTTGGCTACGAAGGCTTCGGGGGAACCTGAGAGGTAGCGGTAGGGCCTGTAGGGTTTTGCAGCTAGCTAGGAATCCCAGCTCGACAGCATCATGGGTGATTCTCAAGAGGCGATTTAGTATCCATGCACTTGCCCCTCTAAGTCAGATTGCTAGAATGGTGGGTTGTGGAGGACAACTGTCCTCCAAGGCCCCTGGAACATTCATAGATTTAGGCTCATTCGCGTCGCACGAGCGGCTCCAGGACCGGACCAAGGCATTGGAGCAGCAGGACGTCGCCAAAATGGGTCGAGCGATGGTTGAATGATATATTGGGTTCTTCCTAAGGTCCTATTACCTGCAACAACCAGTAAACAGTTATCACTATTATTGAACGAGGCCTTTACTAGACATCATCCACGGTTACTGGTAACAAGGATAGGCACCCAATTCTCAGTTTATGGCCCATCCCACATCATAGCCACCCCTCATTGAGCTCGGCACAGCTGCTTGTGCAACAAAGGGGCACCCAAACAGGACAAGAGGAGACAGATGTACTCCTCCGGGCAGGGCAATGCCGCCAATCCCTTCGCTGGACGGCAGAGGCGCGGCGTGCTAGGTACATGGTTTGGTTATTTTTTGGACGTGAGTCTCTGGTTTGTATTGGGCTGGTGCCTACGCGGAAGGCACTCTCAGCCACCGCAGAAAGCTTGCTTTGGATGAGGAAGTCTGACGAGTCCTGAGTCCCGAGCATCCCTGATTGAACGTCCTGCACGCACTCCCACAGTGCTTTTGTCCAGAGAGGTTCAGGAAGGTTTTTGAAGCTCAGCCTTCGATCTGACTTTGGAATCAGTGACAGGGCATCGAAACCCAAGAAACACGGAACTGGTGAGTGTCCCCAACCAGACTGATTTGATTCACTCTCAGACGAGTTGACATACCTAGCTCAATCCGTTTAAAACCTAAACATCGCTGTGGGTCCCACAGGGCGGGTCAGCGGGTCCATCACCGTTTTGGCTGCAAGAATTCCTTTGCCAGGCCGACACCCTCCGGAAACGCTGATGACTTGGAGGGCGGAGGTGGTGCCAGGGCAATGGCTATGCAGCAGGGTAGCTGGGCAGACAGTCCCGTCAGCATGAGTCCAGATGGGCACAGGTGCAGGAAGACTTGAACAGTAAATGTGGCAGACAGTGGTGACGTACCATCTGCTATTGTTTGCCGCCATTGTTGTTTGGGTTTCTAATATTAGCTCTGCCCGGGGGGTGGGTTATCTCATGGCCATAGACTTTGTCCGTCGCTGCCGTGAGAAGTGTGTGCTTAAGCTGTTGTTTCCAGGTGGGTCAGATAAGGGATTCGCTGGAAATTCTGATATGCACAAGTTTTTTCAACTGAGACCCCCTTCCGCAGAATACAACCTAAAAGGACGTATTCTTCTAAGTCTACCTGCGGTGGTATATCAACATTATCAACTCCTTCTATCAGGGTTCCCTTGGGAAGGTCGATTCGGCAAGAGGGATTCTGTTGCGGAAGGCAGTTGGTTCCCATGTGAAATCCACACGCGAACTCATTGGACATCATGCAAAGGAGTTCCTCTGCCAGCCTTCGACAGCAGGCCTTGTAGTCCAAGCAGCCTCGTTTCTAACTCAGTGGATCCCCACAACTGTTCAGGATAGAAGGTGGAACAAAACTGTCGCTCTACCAGCTCAAAAGGGTTTTCAGTTTGCATAGTAACAAGAAGCTACTAGGGGTTCCTGGCATCACTACTAGGAGCAAGAAGCTACTAGGGACTTCCGACGGGTCAGATGCCGCTAAGGTTTGCATTTCCACCTCGGCCACTTGATCCGGCATCACGGCCCTGAGGCTACCACAGCTCGCGTGCGGAAGCAGTGCAGAGCGTCCAGAAGACCATCGGAGAGTTGGCTCAGATGTTCCAAAAGACGCCTGGGCGACAATTGGTGGTGAGGGGCAAGGAGGTTTGTCGGCCACATGCGGAACTTGGGGGGTGTCCCAACGTGGACATGAAATCACTTCCTGGTGAGTCTACTGCGATAACCATGTGTCATCACAGCCAAGTCACCTGTCCAAGTCTACAGGGCCTTCGGAATCGAACCAACTAGTCAGATGCTAGTAGCACACAGCTCGTCTGCGGGATGCAGATGAGGCAGACCTGCCGCCGGAAGCATGTTTAGATCAATGTGATGGGTGGCTTTGGGGAAGCGGCGTGCGTTGGAGTTGTCCAAATTCACGCACAGGTTTCCACCTGTGGGTTGTCCTTTCGCACCTGGTTTCGCATTGTGTCGTCTCAATGTGTGCTCGTTTCCACATGGACCTCCCACTAAACACCCCACCCACTATATAACATGTCATTCAAGAACTTTTATTTCGGTTGACGAGGTTTCATGTGGTTCTTTGTTGGAAGAAACTCCTGACTCCTATGTTATTTTTTTGCAATGCATCCATGGAATCTTACAGTACCTGCATGTACCTGCCATGATCACCTCGATCAATCTCGAGGATGGCCGTGATGGTCACTGCGCAAGAAGAGATGATCCAACGGATTGACCACGACCTGGACGACACCTTAGACAACACCAAGAAAGCACAGGACGGTGCGTTTCGGTCACAGAAAGCATTGCGCACCAGCCTTCAGGACATTTATATCACTTATATACAAAAGGAACAACAACTTGAACTAGTCTGCTCGGGATGTTTGCTGTTAAGACGCTCCGGACGGCATTATCAAGATCAATCGAGAGGATTGCGACCCTGCCAAGAAACTTGGCAGGACAATCTGCTCCAATACTTCCACTACATTTCTTCAAACCGCACGAGACTCAGAGCTTTTTCGGCTAAACAATGGCCCCACAGGTTCGTGGAATATGCGCAACGCTTTCGTCGATCTGGGACAACTTGTTCACGATTGTTTTCAAAAGTGTTCGTATTGCTGATGGGCATGCGGCTCTGCATGCAGCATGCATGCAAGAGAATGTGCTACGTTGATGCAACAAAGAGCTCTCCGGCACCAGAGGGGCCCTCCTAGGTCAGATGATTTTGTGGGAGTTGTCCAGTCAAAGTAATACCGCAGACACGACACCTGACATGTTTGCTTCAACCGGATGGAGCCCCGTTTTGGCACCTCCAAGACTTGTACAGGACACATGGAGGTTCCCTCCACCGACAGGCTCTGCTTTGTTGTCCTTTCTGCTAGGTGGGTTTAACTTGGGTTTCCTCAAGAGGCTGAGACGACTCAAGAGGTCTCCCCCCTGGGTTCGACCCAATGTACGTTGCCCAAGTCGAAGCCAAACCGAGGTGCACTCATTATCAAGGTCTTCCTGATCCTGATCTTCTTTGTGCACCCCTCGGTGGAATCCGAAGTCGGGAAAGCAATCATAAAGGATCGACCCCCTCAGTGCACAACCCAACAACTTTTTGAGTCTTTCAAAAGCACCCGTCCTTGTGGGAATGCCGGCAGTGCTGCTATATAATAGGCTTGTTGTTGAAAGGGCGTCCGTAGGTTGCCGAGACAAGTATTGTGCCACAATCAGCTCAGATGATCTTGCAGAGGGTGTGGGCCCGGAAAACGTATGGCGTGGTGACCCATTGAGGCAATGAACCTATTCCGCGATGAGCACTAGGAAAGGTGGCCACCAGTGTGGCCACCAAAAACCTGCACACACAACATCACAGAGTTTTGGAGAGCTTTGGATCTCTGTGGTGCTTGGAACTGGTGCGAATCCACTCCATGTTTCTTCTGTACCGAATATCTATGCGAATCCCACCCCGAGCACCTGGACGCACCTGGCCGCATGTGGTGCACCAAGGTGATCTTCTTTGTGGTCTTCTTGGCGTGAGTGGCCTGCTCATGTGCTTGTGGTTGGCACCTGTGGGTTTCTGACGATCTTCACCACATGATGAGTGAAGATAGTGAAGGAAGAAAGACATGCCAAAGCACCACTGCAATGAGGGAATCCATGGCTTTTGCTCAATTTCGCCACACCCCACAGACAGTCTTTGAGTCTTTGGATGTCTTTGGCTAATAGGTTAGGCATGGTTAAGCTTGAACCTTCTTTTGGGCATTGGTTCCCAAAGAAGCGGTAAACACAGATGGAACTCTACTGTACCACTGTACCACTGTACCACTGCCAGCAAACCTGAACGAGTCATCCGCTTGATCCAATTGAACCATCTCCCCTGGAGCGGTGCCAGCCGTGCCGCTGGAGCAGTGCCCCATTTGCGCCCAGTAGCCCGGTGATCGCCTGGCAGTGTGCAGAACTGGGTCGTTGAGGTGCCTGGAATGTGATGGCAGAGCAACGCGTTTGAAAGGAAGGTGTGCCAAGAGGTTTATGAGTGTTCTCAACGCGCGGAGGTTATATCTTATAATTCCATACAGTAATCCACACCATAACACAAAGATGTGTCGAATAGGCCGTTGTCATATCGTTGTCAAAGTTAGATTCTGGATTGATGTCCCTTGCGTGTTGGCCATTTTGTCATCCTTGTATTGGGTGGCCTTGGGGGCAGACAAGCAAGCCGATGTTGCATCTTCAAAAGGCCGGTCAAACAGTGCCGTGCTTTGGTGCATCTCGTTGACTTAGCTGGTGAATCGCCGGGACCCAAAACTGTCAGCCCCGTCTCACTGGATCGCGCCGGATCCTGCGAACGACTGCTCATCGTGCGGTGAGCCTCGACGCAAAAGCCTGAAATCGTGTGCGGAGGGTTTCGTTTCCAAACGGCAGGCAAACAGTTGAATCAACATGATCAAAATACTCGTGCCGGTCCAGATTCCTTGCTCGACGGGACCCGCCTTTTTTCCCATAAGGTTCCGGGTCTACATAGATTTCAGGTTTCAGGCAACACAAAGGCTTGCTTTGCCCATGGCCCTTCAAGCCTTCATTGTTGATTTGGCTGTGTGGGCAGGCGAGGTCTCGGAGGCTATGAGTTGCAACCCAGCTCCAGGGGCTTGCTTAGTAGCCATAGCACTAGAGGCTGCCTCATCCGATTTCCAGGTGCCGCAAACAAGCACCACATCACCACAAGAAGATACAAGAAGTAGTTCCAAGGTCAAGTTTATTCAATTGTTTTTTGGGCTTCTTGAGCCAGCCGGCGATTGTTTACCACCGCTCAAGCCACATCCTATACCACCCATAATGCTAATCCAGATGGTATGGTAGAATATGTTTTGCTTAACCTTGGTGTGATTGAAGGACTAAACACTGCTTAAACTGAAGCCGAAGCACATGGCACAAGCCCACAGAGATCCACTATCACTAACCATTTTAGAGGAGGATTCATCAGGCAGTACTGTTGCTAGAGGTCTAGCCCTTTTTCTTTCAAAGTCATTTTGAGGGTTCATGTGGCCCATGCTGGAAGGTCCATCGACTACTCTCATCCACTGGCGCCGGAAGAAACCGGCTCTCATGGTCTCTCTCCGCGGCGCTCCAACCCGCGATGGCCAGTGGCCGGCGTTCCAGATCGCCAGACAGGTCGGGGGCGAGACACCACTTATATACTTCAAGGCTATTATTATTAAACATTATTAGGTACAATTAATATATATGTATATATTTATATTCTTGAAGATGCTCTTTGTTTTTTGGGCGGAGGCATCGGCATTAACAAGGCCAGATTTTGTTTTAATGGGGGCTGCAAAGGTGTGCAGGCAACTTGGCTGTACGTGATTGATTTATGATGCTTGTTTTAATAGCAGCCTTTGACGATTCAGGTTTGGACCTGGCAGGCAGCCAATTCTGAGTAAACCGAGTCATATTCCAAACAGCCTCAGGGTGTACCGGAGAGACTAGCATGTGCAATACATTAGCATGTTTAATGCATAAGCATGTTTGATGGTTGTCGGGGTGTTCAAATCCCACGTGGCAGGTTTTGCAGCCTTTGTTCCAGAACAAACTTTCGAGTTTTCACCATCCAGCGAGTGTTTGGGCTGCCAGGGTGAACTGGTCCATTGCCCCGAAGCACTCTGTGTCGTTGTGGGTGTAGACAGGACGGATGTTCAGTGACGCTCGAGCAGGCTCGGAGGCGGTGTGTTCTTCTGGCGCATCAACCAGGCCTGGTGATACGGTCAGACTGTGGGGTTTCCTGTTGCATGAAGTGCTGCAGAGGGAATCTCGCACTTTCGTGATATGTAAAACGGTGAGACCCGCCCAGGTTGCATGTCTTGTTTGGGGGATCAGCAGTGCAGAAAACTGGGCAATGCTCCCTTGCCAAATTGTAGTTGTGTGGGAACGATAGGAGGTAGGAATGGGATTGGGAAAGGTACAGTTGGAATAGTGAAGGACCTCGACACACCTTGCAAGACGTCCTTGTTTCGCTTGTTTTTACTATTGAGGCATTGTCACAGCCAATGGGACATGGTCATGGACCCCTCAACTCATCAAGGATCAAGGGGTGAATTGACCTAAAAGCTTAGACTGGAGCTCATCGTTTTGTCAGACCTTCAAGCGAAGCCCAGGTGCCCCCAGCGCCCAGCATGCCACCAAGCTCTCTCCACTTGCTTCTCCCCTTTTTTTTGTGGAGGCCATGGCTACTAGTAACAAAGAAGCTACTAAAGCTACTAGTTACTACTAGCTTCTTGTTTCTACTAGTAAGGCACTTGTTACTAGAAGCGATGCACTTGTTACTACTAGTAACAAGAAGGGCTCCAATAGCGCAAAGACCGCTGGAGGCCAACTACACCGGCGCCGGCGCCAGCGCTGAACGGCTCATTTTGTCCGTGTTTTGGACAGCCAACGTCGGGCGGTGGAATGCGGATGGTGCAAACAGGGTTGAGGCAGAAGATAGAAGATGAACTTCAACTAATTTGGCTTCGACTATCGGGACATCCAGGGAAATACCTACAACTTACATCAATCTACAATCTGAGATCCATTGAACCTGACACCTGTGTCAAACCCACCGGCACCCAGGTCCTGGAGAGCTTCGGAGTCTCACGCGCCTCAGTGCCGGAAGGCGGCCGCAGAGAGCTTCAGATCCCTGGTCATCCCAAGCTGGGAAGTGTGTGGCCTCAAGTGTTCCCTTTTTGGTGTAGCCTTTGAAAGGGTGATCCAAATCCTGAAAGACATCTCAAATTCCTGCAGCGCATATTATGTAGCATACAGCATACATAAATACATAGGCGTGTTGGGACTGAATGCGGAAGCAAGTGGCTACTTGAAGATCGCATCTTGGTGTGGCATGCTCTTGTTTTGTTCTTTATACATTAGTGACAGTGGGTTGGAGAGTTGCCATCTGGCCAACCAACTCAGAATGCTCAGAAAGCTCCCGGCCCCCTTCTGGAAGGGCGGCAGACATCCTGGAACTTCTGCTCAGCTTGTTTCGCACTTAAGCGCCTCCTCCCAGGCGCTCGGCTCGTGTGGGCCAATTGCTTCGAAGCCAAGCTCTGGGCCTCGGCAGGCGGCCGAAACGCGACGACGGCCTTGACCGCGGACGACCTATCGGCTGAAGAGCCCACGGGAGAACTCTTGAGAAAGCTCCATTTCTGGATGTCTAATCTCAGTAATTGTGTTTGTAACATCAAGTGGCGAGCCAGAAACAGACGATGAAACCCCGATTTTACACTTTTGTGCTCGTGAGCTGGCCGCTAGCCAAGCGGGTGTGGCACAGAACCTGAAAGGACAGGAGGCTGAGGCTGTCATTGTCCCGCACCAACTTCGACTTCGGGGAAAGTTGGCGTTTTCAGTGTAAACGTGCCACCTGCGAAAGAGGTGACACAAACCCTGCCAGTTTTGCCGGGAATCAGAACAGAAACCCTTGAAAACAGTGGCCTGCAGATGGCAGCGTAGCCAAAAGACCTCGAAAGCGTAGCTGAAAATGTCAGGGCATTGCTTCATCAACCACTTTCCTCGAGACTTGGTGGCAAGGGATTTGGAAGGTGGATCATAGCAGATCTTCAACATGCTAGCAGACTGCGTTGGAAGTGCGGAGAATCCTGAGTACTCACCCAGTGGAAAGACCGGACATCAAAATCAGAGGACTAGTACAAGGTTGCAGCAACCCGCAGATGGTGATGTTTCTGCCAGATTCCTCGTTGGGTCCTTTGTAGCTGGGGGCCAGGGCCCATTGAACAATAAGAAGTATGGGTAACTCATGGTAACTCTCTATGGCCCTCACCATGCCAAGGTCTGCTTGTTTTAAGCCACTCCCGCCTCGAATCCTGCCTGCTTCATCTACCCTACTCACTCTCACGATCGCAAGTCTTTTTGCCAAATGATAATCACAAGGCAGGGAAAGTGCATCTACTTGTACCATCATCGCTCGGAAGGCATGTTGAAACAACATTGACAACCAACCGGTTTCTTCCCATTCCACGGGCCGGCCCGGGCCGCCCGAGGCTCGGTGGAGCTCTCGCACAAGCACCGGCTCTGTGCGACGCTGCGGCTTCAGCGGCACGGGCCCTCAAGACGGAGAGGCAAGTTCTGTCCAACCATGTCCAGAGGGAAATGGTTCAGGGCTGGGGCGTTGACTTCAATCGTTTGCTAGGACTGCTGAAGTCTCGGTTGCCCTATCATACGATTGTATATTTTCTACCGATTTCCACCTTTTTTCAGATTCCGAAGGTGAGCCGCGCATAAGTGGTGGTGTGCAAATGATTTGGGCACCGCATGCTTTCCCACATTGTCCTGCCTCTATCAATTGAGGGATTCACCTCATATCTAGTTGGCTTCTGCAACGTTGTTAGATGCGCAGGCAGGCTGGGAAGCACGTCGGCTCAGAGCACTCTTTGTGCCAACAATGCGAACATCAACTCGCCCTACCCAGCAAGATCAACCCCGATGGGCTCTTGCCACACCGTTGGCCGGGTGTGGGGCAGCAGCATGAGGACACTGGGGGCTACCGGAGGTCGATTCGTTCCGTCTCACCCCGACAGCCTTCAGGTCGAGCAGAAGGTTCTCGCGTTAGGGGTCCTTCTTCTGACTCATGGTTGTTACAGGGGAGGCCATTTGCCCAACCCAGCAAGAGCTTTGGCGCCGGGTTTTGGACCTTCAAACCCGATGGGCTCTTGCCACACCGTTGGCCGGGTGTGGGGCTGCAGCATGAGGACAATGGGGGGCTACCGGAGGTCGATTCGTTCTGTCTCACCCCGACAGCCTTCATGTCAAGCGTGTTGGGGCCAACGCACTTGGCGCCAAAGTGTATGACAGTGAGACGATGGGCTAACGTGCTCACTGGACGCTTCCTGCAGCAGGGATCGTACCGGAATTCTGGCCCATCCTTTCTTCAGGCTCATGTTGTTACAGGGAGGCCATTTCAACTTTCTCGCGCTTGCCCAGTGCGCAGGCCATTTACACGCGAGACTCTTGCGTGCGCGCTTAAGCCTCGTACTGAGAAACGTTTGGCCCGTCTGGCACACCATCTGAGCAGGTAAGGCCTGCCCACGAGAACACTGTGCGTAAATCTGTCAGTCGCGTAAGGTTGCATAAGCTGGTGACATTGCAGTGTGTGTGTGTGTGCGCGTGTGTGAGCAGTGCACAAACAGTTTGTAGCTTTTTTATGCTTTTTTACTTTAAATGTTTCTTGTTGTTGCCGCTGCTGTGTTCTGTAGTCATCACTGCAGGTGTTAAACATGTGTTGAAAATGCTAGTTGTCACAAAACAGCGGCCTGTGGTCAATCTTCGTGTGTTGTACAACGGCTTTTTTTTGGGGGGGGGGCCTGTGGTCGAGAGGCTTTGCAGCAATGTGCAACCGCGGACCGTTCGGCCGTGCGAACTGTGGCGTGTTCGCACGGCCTGCTATGTAAACCCGTGTGGCACCCGTGTAAGCCACACATGGCGGGCTGATGAGCGAGGTGAAGTGACGGAAAGAGCCCAGACAGGTCCACCCAGAGATCTTGCAGCTTTTGTGCCCTGGAGACGGGTTTGGGACTGGCAAGTGCAAGACGTTTCAACCCCTCCAAGTTGGAGACTGATGGGTTCTTTGGGTCAAAGGGGAATTGCCAGTCCAGGGTTCGCCATGGACTGAAATCATATACCTAAACCCCATTTCAAACCCATTTTTGCTGGGACTGGAGTCTTGGGTGCCCCATCTTACCTTGCAGCTTGCAAGTGGTTGCAGCGTGAGTGGCAGCCTGAGTTCAAGTTATATAGTTGCAATCATTTGGCCCTCCTTTACCTGCAGAGGGCTTGTTAGTGGCAAGGATGTGTAGCACATATGTCACGAGAGGTATGTAAGCCGGGCTTCACTGAGTCAACATTATTGAACTTCCTAGAGGCTGACTTGCAAGTCTGTGGCGGGTTGTTCATGGCACACATGGTCGATGCGCGAATGATAGAAAGACGAGGCAACTCCCCAGGCTGATCTAAGGTTCAGAAGTCAAGGTCGAACACAGACCTTACCTGCGTTGTCCTGGTCCTGCTTTGGTTAAAGAGACCGGGAGGATCCCGCAATCGGGGCGCTCCAATGTATATTTTGTTGGGCGCTCCAACTGTCGACTGTCAAGCCCCTGGCGCCCCATTTTGGCGCGTTCGGAGCTTTCACCTCCACCGACTCGCTGCCCGAGGTGCCTCCCTCGGAGCTTTGTGCTGCCCAAGGAACGCTTCGAGTTCCTGCAGGCCGCCTCTCCAGGCCGGAGCAGTGATCGAAAGGGGCTGGAAGGGCGTGCAATCAGGTTGACAAGAAGCCCTGATAGCGTCCTTGTTACTAGCAGTGGCAGTAAGGCCAGGAGCTAGTAGCGTCCTTGCTCCTAGTAGCGATGCCCTTTGTTACTAGTATATAGCTTCTTGTCCTTTTTTTCTGAGAGAGAAACTGCCATAAATTGTCCTCAGATTCCCAGTGGTCCTGTCCTCCCTGCCAAGAAGCATCCGAAGCTGTGCGACCAACACCTTGTCTGAGGGATGTTGGCCATCTATCCCAATGATGGCAGAAAGCATTAAAGGATCATCTACCCGACCCGACAAAAAAGATGCAAGTACAGAAGTGACCTTAAGAACCCCAGCTGCCACAAAGAATCAGAAGAACTCCTGCAACGCAATATTGTTTTGCCAGAAGGATGATTCCTGAATGCAGGGGCTGCCTGACGTGTGTAGGAAGTGCATGCTTTTTCGCACCGTTGCACTCATCCCCACAAAGACCCGGTGCCTCAAAACCACAGGCTTGAATGGACAGCACCTCTAACTCTATGTGTAATTTTATACTAAACAAGCACCATGTGTATGATGAGGTCAATGAATGTCCGTTCCAGGTTCCGCACCTGTTGCATCATGTTGGATCCTTCATTCTTTTTATTCCCCACATTCTTGTGTGGGGTTCTTGTTTTTGCCGAACACATCCTCTTTCCTCCTTCCCGCCTCCTCCCGCCCTCCTTCTCTAATCCTCTCATCTCACTCACTCATCTTCTTCATCTTCTCATCAACTTCCTTCCTTCCTTCCTTCCTTCCTTCCTTCCTTCCTTCCTTCCTTCCTTCCCCTCGTCATCCAACTCAATCAGCAACGCAATCAACTCAACTCAACTAACAACCAATCAACGCAACTCAACTCAACGTGATTCATCATCTCAACACTACCGTACCACTCAACTCCACTCAATCCAACATATCTCAACTCATCACCTCAACTCTGCCACTTTGAATCCAACTCATCATTTCAACTCTACCACTCAACCTATCTCAACTCAATCAACTCAACCAACTCCGCTCTCAGCGCGTGTTTTGCTGCACCTGCTGCCACGTAGAGGGCTCGCTGGTGCGGCTTGCCCGCAATGATTGCCTGGGAAATGGCGCCGCGGCCTTCTCTTGCCGTCTGCTTGGGAGGTGCGCGTCAGGTTGCACAGTCTTTACGTGCCACTAAGCAGGAGTGGTGCAGTGGCCAGATGCCGCAGCAGTGGCGATCCAGCGTCATGCATCATGATCCTTGTGTGCGTGGATGATTGAATCGCGCGTGGACTTTCGAGTCTAATTACACCCAACTCGGCTCTAATCCACTATATAACTCAACTATCACTTCAACTCAACTCTCACAACTCAACTCCACCTTCTTGACTTTTTGTTTGTCCTTTTCCCATCTCTTCCTTTGTGTTTACCGGCATGAAATTATTCAACTTTCCACTTCTTTATTTGTCCGTTTCTTTCGTCACTTTTTCTTTTGGAAGGCTTGCCATGTGGGGTTGTCCGGTCCTTTACCTCCTTGGCTCAAAGTCGCCATGCGGCATCTCCGGACGTTGCGGGCGCCAGCGGAGCCAGTCCTGCTTGGGGAGCACCGGGCAACTTGTGCTAGCGGAGTTGTTTCTGGTTGGGTCACAGCAATCAACGACGGCAGGGCTGAAACTAAATGTTCACTGTTTTGGATTGTTTTTGTGACAAGCTGTGGGGACCCCGATAAAACAGTCTCACCGACGGCTTTGGAGGGTGTTTTGTCCGACACTATGGATTCTGGCAGCTGAGGGTCGGCAGACTTGTTCAGATGAATTTTCCCAAGTTACGGCGGGGCAGAGCCACTGTGGGTGAAATGAGAACGCACGCGTTGCAGGAGGTTTTTGTGAGCACGTGTTTGGTTGGGAGTTCCAAGGTGCCGGCCCGTTGGACGGACCAGACTTTTGTTTTTGGTTCCACAAGCTCCATACCTTGCATTGATGTAGGTTTAGAGAGTTTTTCCGAAAACGGATTATAGCGCTATATATCATATCCATTTTAGATCATTTTAGATTCTAGATGCTGTTTTATGGTTTTATATAGATGCGTCATTCTCCAACTTTTGTGTTTCACTGCTGAGCTGGCAGTTGAGGGCATAAATCAGGAAAGGTAGCTTGAGCTACCTGAGTTCTCCTTGCTTTAGCAAAAATGATCAAAAATGTATTACAATCAGGAGTTGGGATTGTGCATTGAGTTTGGTCCTGTAAGAGATGATTCTGTTCGTCGGGGGCCCCCCCCCGGATCAAATCCCGCCTGCGCCGGTTCACGCCGTCATGGACTTCTACCAGGGCTACTTGTGATTGCCTGCTACCTTTCGTTCATCCCCCCCTCCTCTCTCAAGTCTAAACCCGTGCCGAGTGAGCGGCTGTTTCCCGTTGGGCGGACGGGTCTTGGCGAATCCTCAGGCGATTTGGGGCACTGTGAAGGCGAGGTATGAGGACTTTGTGGTGAAGGAAGTGTCGCAAGAGGGGCAGGTGCGCAGCGATGTTCTCGCTGGCGAACCTCGCGAGGCAATCGAGCCGTGACGTTGGTGGTGTAGTTTTCTACACTTCTCGGTGGGTATGGTCGTACTCAACGTGGTAGTTTCTGCATTCTTGTGTGGGCAGAGTTCATAAGCACTTGCACCCAGCATGATAAATCAGGCCAAAAAGCCAGGTGGAGTGAAAGGGTCAAGGTTGGCACCTCTAGACTTCTACCGTTCCTGACCTTAACCAGCAGATCCAAGCAGGAGTTCATCTAAGACTAGTGACCTCTACGATCCTTGACCTCCCACAGTAGACAGGTGGTGGAGTTGGAGGATGTGGATCTCCTGGGGCAGTGGGAGCGCTGGAAACAGAGTGCGGGTGCAGGGCCAGTGGCTCGGATGGTCTTGGCCAAGGACGGAGACGGTTCCAATCGAAACGGCCAAAACGATGTGCTTCTTGTTCCTAGTAGCGATGCCAGGAGCCCCTAGTAGCGTCCTTGCTCCTAGTAGTAGGGCCAGGGGCCCCTAGTAGCTCGTTCCTAGTAGTAAGGCCAGGAGCTAGTAGCGTCCTTGCTCCGTAGCGATGCCCTTTGCCAGTCAAACAGATTCAACGATGGGAAACTCCACACATCGCAGGTTTGACATGGGTTCAAGTGTACATCGTCGGGGGGAACCCACGTGAACCCCGCACTGGAGAACTTGTTTTTTGACAAGCATTTGGTCCAACCACAGTTTTTGAACATGTTTTAACATTCCAAGGTGTCAAGAACTCTAGTAGCCGTGGCTTGGGGCTCTTCATTGGGAGGTAGCCAAGTAACTCAATCGCGTCATAGATCTGGGAAGGCCTTTCCTGCTCACATGGTAGAACGTGGAGCTTGGTGTAACAGTGCTATCATGTGTTCATATGAAATTTTTAGACTTTGGTATGTTATGCGGATCGCTTTTGGTTGCATGTTTCATATTAGGAAAGGCACTTGCGCTTTCTTTCCACCTCCTTCTCTTGAAGCCAGGCTTCGGCCCTCTCATCTTCCAACTCCCTACTTCCCCGCCTCCCGTCCAGGAGAACCGCGACGTGGCAGACGCTCGCGCCATGCTGGCGAGGAGTTGGCGCTTGCGACGGGAGGACGTTCACGTCCATGGCCTCAAAGATCGGAGGGGCATCACCTATCAACATGCCGCTTGGCGCGTTTAAGCTTCTTGTTAGTGGTAGTAATGCCCTTGTTACCAGCGATGCACTTGTTACTAGTAGCTTCTTGCTACCAGTAGTACCTATCAACGTGCCGCCTGGCGCGTTTTCGCCGGCATCGTCGAAGACTGGCCGTGCGGGGAGCCGATCGGGAGCGGAGCCGGTGGCGGCCAAATCGTGGGGTGTTTTGCTGCTTTGTGCGGCCGTTTCAGAGTGTTATCAGTACTGGGACTACTGGGACTATGCAGTGTTTCAGAGTGTTTCAGAGTGTTATCAGAGTGTTATCGTTTGTGGGGTGAAGCTACTGGGACTGGGCCGTGGGGCTGGCGGATTTGTTTGAATGGAGATGACTGGCAGTGATGCTCTTATTGAAGCAGTGACATTATGTAAGATTGACACCGGGTGCTAGATCTCCCATGTTTGTCATTCGGAACTCTTCTCTTGGGTCTCTTGCAATTTCAACAGAATAGCATCATCAACATGAAATGAATTGAAATGAACAATATAACATATAAACATGAATCAACTAAATCCCAAGTATGTTGGCAGACTTTCTTTATCAAGACCCTGAGACCCTGATGATTTTCTTTATCAAGGAGTTATCCCTTAAACACCTCAACTGTGGGGTACTACCCTTTGAGTCCTACCGCGGGGTCCCAACCGTGCCTGACAAACGGAAATCAACCGTTCATGGTGCAAGGGTTTGCAAAAGCATTTGTGTGTATTGTGTATATATATATATATGATATATGTTATATGTATGTGTTTGTATGCACATTTATTTATATACACACACGCACTACATATATATATAGCACAAAAGGAACAGATAACATTCAGGAGTGAGCTTTTATGCTGGTGGTATCCGTTCTCCGTATCAATTTAATTTTTAAACACCCTTCACGGCCAATGTATGTGGTGCCTCGATAGATGCACACATTCTTCCTCGGCTCATGCTCTAGGTTGCAGCCAGGGTTTGAAAGTCCACCACCCAACCTTGCGTTTGTGGCAAGATAGGAAATTAAGACCAATGGGCCATGGGCATCCAACAGCCATTTCGCGTGCGTTGTTGCCGCGTCCAGGTGATAGTTAACGGACATATATCGTCCGGTGGAAGGTGATGTTGCAAGAATAACATTGACTGGGAACTCCTCCGTGAATCGTGGATAAGCTATACAATGAAGTACCCTTTTGGGCACGTTATCGAGTTCGTTGCGCGCATCAGTTTCAGCGTGCCACACGTGTAGAAGCGACCGCCCAGTCCTGTTGTTGAGCGGGACCGGGCAAGCCTCAGATGGGCTGGGCGCTCAGCACTTGAATACGGCTTTCAGCCAGCAAGGTGAGAAAATGTTCCGCAATGACAGCGCGCGCGCGCAAAGCTGAGTCAGAGGACCCAGCCATTCCTGATTCCAACGTAAATTGTGTAAGTGCTGCCGGGATGATGCTTAATTATGAGTTTGCGGCCCTCTACTTTCAAGTTGGGTGCAGCCATGTTTGTATCCAACATGCCACCGCCCCGCGGGTTCAAAAAGGTGGTCCACTGCTAATAGCCCCCTCCTGTTTTTCTTTTCTATGCCGATTCTTAGTTTTATTTGCCAAAACTAAACGTCGAGTTGAAAGCGATCATATGGCCACTGTCTTACATGCCCAGGTGAGTGTGCCCTGGTCAGCGCTAGGCCCCAAGCACTTCCCTCAGAAGGGGGCGGTGACTTGGGATCCGGCTGTGCAGCTGGGTGATTTGCGACGACAAGAGGAACACTGCCGGCTAGGGGCGTTACAAGGAAACCAGTGCCTTTGCTGAAGACCTGTGTGACGATTTCCATCATCCCTTAGCAGCTCTCGCTCCAAATCGGCGTGTTTGGTAGAGGGAACAATAACAAGAGTGGATGCTTCAGCTTGAACATGAGTGCGTTTACGTGCATATCTTCACAGAAAACAGCATTTTGCATGCGATTGATCAACATGTTGGTCTTACGGTTTCATTGCCCGTCAGCCATAATTAGAAGCAGACATGCGCCCACCAGTCATTTTGCCACCACGAAGGTCCTGAGTTGATGTTTTCATTCCCCGCCGATGTTTTGCATCGGCAACTCCCAAGCAAACTCTTTTGACCAGGAAGGCAGAGTGCGCACAGGTTGCTCCACAAACCCAACATGTCCAATAATGATGCGAACAATGTTTTTTTGACCGTGTGTTGCCCCCAAGTTTCGTTTGCGCGTAAGAGGTTCACCATCGCCTTGAGGGATGTCGAAATAGAAGGAGAACCTTGGCTGCTTGGTTTGTCTGGGATTTGGAACAGTTTTCATTCGCAAGGACAGTCCCAAGCTGGCCCACCTGAGATGAAACACAGCCAAAACGCAGTGGTATCTCCCAAAACTACCTTTTTATTGAATGTTTTTTCACGAAAGCTAGCGAAGCTAGCTGGAGTTACTCTTGCGATAGCAAGGTTTCTTTCGACCGGGTGCAAATCCTAACCCCTGATTTTTCAGGTCGAAGACCCCCCCCCCCTCCCCGCCCCTCCGCCCCTCTCCCCTCCTCCCCTCCTCCCTCTTCGCAAGTTCGACTCCGTCCTGTCGTCGCTCTTTGGCATGCGGTTAGCGTTGCGTATCTTGCGGCCGCACTCGCTCACTCTCACTGTCTCACTGTCTCACTGTCTCACTGTCTCACTGTCTCACTGTCTCACTGTCTCTCTCTCTCTCTCATCTCTCTCATCTCTCTCATCTCTCTCATCTCTCTCATCTCTCTCATCTCTCTCATCTCT